AATTAAAATAGAATCTACTCTGACTCACCCTCCGAGACAGGTTTTTCACTGTTAGGGAAGGAAGTTGCAAAGTGTTGGGAGGGTTGACTTGGAACTGGAGGTATCAGTTTGAACTTGGCATATGTGTTGGGGCATAGGGAAGGGAAAGGGAGAGAGAGAATGTATGTGCACACATTTCCTAGCTCTGTCTTCTGAGGGAGCTTAGAAGCAATGACACCCAGACGTTGGCTTGTATTCTTAACTAAAAAGACCCAGGGTCCCGTGGAGAAAAACTGATTCTGGAGCTGGGGCAGGTGAAGTATAAGATGAGTCTGGAATACCTTGTTGAGCCAGAAAGTAGGGAAGTACTCAGAGAATGACAGGGGCTTGTCAAAAGAAACAGGAACCAAAGTGAATGGGCTCCCACTGGCCAAATCTGGAACCACATGAGCACTGAAATAAGTAACATCGGCAACATCATAATCCCCTGAATAAAATAAGAATCTGTGAGTCCACACTGATATAAAATAGAAGTGAACTGGAGAAGGAAAAGCTCTTCCTTAGAGCAGAACGACAATTAAGAAATACAGAAGTAATGATGTTAGAAAATGATCCGTGCAAGAGAAAACCAGTAGTTGAAAGTGTGATGAGGAACGGGGTATTTACATAGCCGCGAAGTATCTCCCCGCAAATTACTTAGCAATTACAAAGGGAAAGACAACTACTTTACAGGAGAGAAACGCTGTGACCACCTAAACCAGGTGCTCAAAGTTACTGTCACCACTACTGATGCAAACTGACATGTGTGCCTATATCGTTAATTTTATGTGAGGTGCCCAGACATTCGGTCAAACAGTATCCTGGGGTGTCTGTGCGGGTGTTGCTGGATGACAGTAACATTAGAATCAGTGGACTGAGCAGAGCAGAGTGCCCTCCCCAGTGTGGGTGGGCCTCATCCAATCCAGAAGGCCTGATTAGAATAAAAGGGTGACTCAGAAACAATGCTTTGTCTCTCAGCCTCACTGTCTCTGAGCTGGGACACAGGTCTTCTCCTGCCCTCATACCCAGGCTCAGACTAGAACTTGCACCACTGGCTCTCCTGGGACTCCAGCCTGCCAGCTGCAGCGTTGGGACTTCTCAGCTTCCATAACTGTGTGGGCCAAAAAAATCTCTCTATATGTGTGTATATAGACACACACGTATCCTACTGGTTCTTTATCTCTGGAGCTGGACTAATACAGATTTTGTACGAAGAGTGGTTGTAGAGGGACAGAATCTTAAGAATGAGGTTTTTGAGTTAGTTCAGGAGTTTCGGGAACTGGCTCTCTGATCAGATTTTTTAAAAAAGGTTTATTTTTTTAAGAGAAAGAGAGAGAGAGAGAGAGAGAGCATGAGCAGGAGGGGCAGAGGGAGAGGGAGAGTGAATCTCAAGCAGACTCCACACTGAGTGTGGAGCCTGAGGTGGGGTTCGATCCCAGGACCCTGAGATCGTGACCTGAGCTGAAATCAAAGAGTTGGATGCTTAACCAACTGACCCACCTAGGCACCCCAGGTTTTTATTTTGAATAGGCAATACAGGCTCTTAGTAAAAGATTCAGAAGATATAAATGATCAGATAGTGGAAAGTGCTTCTCATTTTTCCCATTTTCCCACAGTCTCCCCTGCCAGAGACAGCCACTGCTACTAGATTTCTGTGAATTTTTCTAGAAAGAGGTTATGCATACACACACATATACATACAGTCTTTTTTACATGAATGACTTTTCTTCTCTAATTAAAATATGTATCTTGGTGATAGTTTCATGTAAGTAAATAGAGAAAAGCCTCATTTTTATGCCTGCATAGTATTTCATTTCATGGGTGAATATACAATAACATACCTAACTAGTCCCTATTGGACTTTTAGGCTGTTACTAATCTTTTCTACTATGAACAATGCAACTATAAATACAATGGCATCTATTTCTTTGTGCATATGTGTACATATTCCTGTAGAACACATTTCTAGAACTGAAGTTGCCAGGTCAAAGGATACGTACAATTTAAATTAGTGAATTTTTGCCAAATTCTTCTCAAGAGAGGCTGCTGTAGCAATTCGTACTTCCACCTACAGTTTGTTTGCTGGGTGTGGATTTTTAAAGCAACGACGCTGGCCCATATCAGAAGGACAGCTTATAATGCAGTTTTAATTTCAAAGTACACCAAACTTTGACCCTTTTCTTTATTGATGTACCAAACTTATGCAATGCTCATTAGCTTACTGCCAACTTTCAATATGTTCAGGTCACCTTCCCCAGTTCTTAGATGAGAATTTCTCCCAAGGGTGAAGACATCTTACTGCAGCTTCTCCTGGCAAAATCATGGTCTCCACATGATGGAATCAATTCATCTACTCCCCTTTGTGAGACTGCACATTCCTGAAGTGGGCAGGGACTATTTGTTAGAGAGATTATGAATGTGAGAGCCACACAGCCCTGGAGCCCCAGGTTTGAATCCTGGCTCTGCTAGTTACTGATTGTGTGTGTTCATAAACATCTGAGTAACTAATAAGTGCCTTGTGTCAGGCACTGTGCCAAGAGCCTGAGTTGCAAAGAATAAGGATGGTATTATTGTACCAAAGACAGAGACAATGCCATGTTAGTATGCACAATGACAGAGGATTTAAAAATGACATATTTTTTTAATTTTTAATTTTTATTTTTCTTAAAGACTTTTTATTCGTGAGAAAGCAAGAGCAAGCATGAATTGGGGGGAGGGGCAGAGGGAGAAGCAGACTCCCCTCAGAGCAGGGAGCCCAACGTGGGGCTCCACCCAGGATCCCAAGATCCTGACCTGAGCCAAAGGCAGATGCTTAAATGACAGAGCCACGTAGGTGCCCCTAAAAATGACACATTTTTAAAAAAATTGTCATTTCCCTCTGGCTCCCATTCTCTTTCTCTCTTGCTCACATGTGCGCGTGCATGCATATGCATGCGCCATCCCCCCATCATATTGCTTCGGAAAAGATTTAGGGCAATAACAAAGATAGAAAGGATGCTATGGAAGCTAAGAAACAGGATACCAAACCCAGTTTTAGGAGCAGGAGGGTTCAAAGAAGACATCCAAAAATTAAATTTCTTGACACCTGAATTATTTATGTGATCATACCCTCTCCATAGATAAATCTAGGCACTTCTTGACTTATACTGCCTTAAGAGCACCTAGAATAGGATGCTTTATTTTGCCTTTTTATTAACATACCGAAGGCTCCAAAGAGAACATCTGAGGAGACCAGAGCCTACCAGTGTAGCAGGGTGACACTGGCACCTAGCTCCCAGGAGTGTTCCACGGGATGAGACGCTCCGCTCATGGGAACAACTCGCACACTGTTGGCACGCGGAGAGCGTACAATGACGTGAAGTCCTCTTTTATTATGAGCAATACCGCCAGCCGTCCGAACGGCAGGACACGGCTTTCCTCCCCTTGGGTCCCCTTGTCCTGTGCACCGCATCTGCGCTGTGCTGGGTCTACCTTCACAGTGACGGTCACTTCTGTTAGCCTACTGGATCACCATCCAGCTTGGCGTCGTGTCCAGAAGGGATCCTCCTAGTAGTTCACAGGGACCCTCTGAAGTCAGAAAACCTTCCATAGCAATTGTCAGGCTTTCCACAGGACACAGGAAACTCATGAGGGCCCCTGGCAGTGGTCTGACCGGCTCCCTGCGTTCATCTCTCGGTTTTCTTTTCCAGAGCCACCTCTTCTCACGTGAGCAGCACAAAGGGTAGTTAACCAGCAAGTGTGGTCAGGAGATGCCTGGCTGAATTATTTTACCTTTTTCTTTCTTTCCTTTTTTTTTTCATTGCAAGATGAATTTGATATATACATTTTTAGAGAATGCCTGCTTTTTCAAAACACGTTTCTATTATATAGTAAGACATGCCTTGTAGAGAAACATTAACTTTAAAAGTTCTTATTGCTGTCTTCAGTTTTATTTGTAGTCACTTGTTCATTCATGCTGTTCAGTTATCAGCACCCACGTTCCAAGCAGGCAGACCCGTCTCCCCCCTAATTCAGGGTAATGAGAAGGACAGACACTGAACGGGCTGCAGGAAGAGGCAACAGAATGTGCAGTGCACAGGTGGAGGGAGGGACGAGGGCAGGACACAGGACTACATCACAGCAAAAACAGCAAGAGGAGCGTGAGGGCTGCGCGGGGAGAGGCGGGTGTGTGAGGCGTGCAGTGTCACGGGGTCTTGCACGTTATCTCAAGGGCAGAGTTTAAGTGCTGACCACATCGGCCTTTTGCAAGCTCCCATGACTGCAGGCTGCAGAGGACAGAGTGCCTGGCAGGGGAGCAGTGAGGAGGCCACCGCCTGGGTCCTGGGAAGGGCCCGCCGGGGCTCTGGCTGGGGTGGAGCAGTGGGGAGGTAGAGCAGGGACAGGCTTTGAGAGCAGAAGAGGCACTGATTGGATAGGGTGACTTCCCAGATGTGAGATGTGGGAAAGACGGAGGGGTCAAGCTGACCACAGTGCTGCTTATTATACAGAGCTGGGACAGTAGGGGAAGAGCACAATTTCGGGAGGTGATGGTGAGCCACACAGGCTGTGTTGGGTCTGAGATTCCTGAGGGAGAGCCAAGGGAAAATGCTGCTTACTCTTCTTTCTCTCCTAAGCTAACTACGCCTGACCCTTTGGACACAAAGGAAGCAATGCACAGGATGGCAGACACAGAGTACCCAGAGCACAGGGAGGGCGGCCAAAAATCCTACCTGTCACCAAGGGCACATGCTATGGGGGGGGGACCTGCTCTGTGGCCCAGAAAGAGACAAGAGATATCCGGGGTTTTTTTTTGTTTTTTGTTTTTTTAAGATTTTATTTATTTATTTGAGAGAGAGAGAATGAGAGACAGAGAGCACGAGAGGGGGAGGGTCAGAGGGAGAAGCAGACTCCCTGCTGAGCAGGGAGCCCGATGCGGGACTCTATCCCGGGACTCCAGGATCATGACCTGAGCCGAAGGCAGTCGCTTAACCAACTGAGCCACCCAGGTGCCCGAGATATCCGGGTTTTATTTAAATTTTGTATTACCTGAATTTGATCATGTCAAGTGACTCAGCAATTCTACCTTGCTGGTATAAGGAAATAGCAGAACACAACACTGTCCCCTCCGAAAGGCTATCTACTGAGGTCCCAGGCAATGTGGTTAAGACAATACTACTACCAATACGATGGCTCCTTCTCAGTACATGGTCTAAATTCTTGACCATAAAAGACATTTTTCACCAAAGACCACTGTTCATTCCCCCAGCAAAAGGAAACAACATTTTATAGTATATCTCAATGAAAACATGATAAGTAGCGAGGATGTAAAAAATAATCTGTCAGACATGGCATAGCAAATCATGCCCACAAATACAACAGCTGGGCTGACATCTGGGAATGGACTGCTTTTCAGTTTTTGTTCGTTTGTCTTCTGCGGGGTGTCTGAAAAGGATTCAACTTGAGACTCTCTCAGTGTGGTGAGAAGGATGTTGGTCACTCACAGGGTGCTCAGTCAACCGGTCACTTTGACAGGAGAGTCTCTACAAGGCTGATGTCAGGACATGCCCACGCTGGGCAGAGAGTCACAGTTAGGTGAGGGCACCTGTAACTTCACAATGTTGAGAATGAATCTTGAAATGGCTTCATTTTGTCCTTGCAAGGAAAGTTGTTCTTTTCCTGAGATCAAAAAAGGTTTTTAAGCTTACCAAACCCACACCAGGGAAAGCAAATTATCTGTCTTGGTTTCCATTTGCCACCCTATAGCTTTTAAATAGTCTTTTTAATTATTTAAAATTTGACTGATTGATTTAGCTAAAATCCTAATAGAGGAAATATAGAGACTGGTGAACTGGACCACAGTAAAATCACTCTCAGTGACTGTAAGAGTCCTTAGGAACTACAGAGCGTCAGACTAACAGATGGATATTTAAATACATGCATTTAAAATTAGTAAAACACACACAAACAATAAATATTATAGCGTTATTTAGTTATGAAATGCTGAGTGTCTAATGATGACAGACACGAAGATCTAGACCAAAATATAAGAATGAAACTTCTCCTATTAATAACACGACACTGTATTTTCTCTTCCAACCTACAAGTGATAAACACAATTTCTCCAACCTAAGGCTCAACTTTTATATATATATTCCTTTTCATCCGTTTCACTTAAAAATGATTTCCTATTGGGGCACCTGGCTGGCTGAGTGGGTTAGGCGTCTGACTCCTGATTTCGGGTCATGATCTCACGGTTGTGGGATTGGGCTCTGCAACCGGCTCCACGCTCAGCATGGAGTCTGCTTGAGATTCTTTCTCCCTTTGCCTCTGCTCATGCTCTTTCTCTCTCTCTGTCTCAAAATAAATATATACAATCTTAAAAAAAAAAAAAGATTTCCTATTATATTAGTGATTTGGCTCCCTGGCATGCCTAGCAAAGTGGTTAAGTGCATTCTGCCTTAACCAAGGGGTGAGCCTAGTTATAAATCAGCACTGCTCAGGAAAATGAACAAGACCTAGGTCTGAGCCAGACAATCCTTTGGTAGAAATGCACAATTACATGAAGTGATAACAATTATGCATTTTAAATACTACAAACCACTTATACCACAGTACTGAACTCTCTTTTAAAAATAAGTAAGTAAATCATTTCACAGATGTCTGAGGACTGTAACTAAACAGGATGCCTTTAGGATTCTTACCCCATCCTGACCCTTGGATAGGAAGCCTCTTCACCTTACACTATACTTAAATATTTGGCTCTCTGGGTGACAGGAAACCTAACAGGTTCACCCTGTCCCTCTGCCTAATTTAGTAAGTGACAGAAAACCTAATCAGTTGACTAGATCCCTTGTTAAAAACTGTAATTCCTTACGCCAATTTTCCTAACATGTGAAGGTTCTGATATAGTTAAAGCAAGGTTTTCCTAGGTGTTATTGAGACTTGGGGCAACCAGATAGGGAGCTTTAGGGTCCAAGCTGGGCAGTAGCTGTGGCAGGAGACACTGAAGAGAAATAAATGGTTAAGTAATCAAGCAAATGGATTATTTCCATTTTGGCTACTGTGACAACACCTGTTTTCAGTTCAGAAAACAAAGGCACAGTAAACTAATATTTATTGTGCCAAGAACTGTTACCAAAAGCTGCTCCCCGGGGCCCCTCAATAATGGCTGTTGGTTCCGGGATGGAGTTATTATGGTAAGGACAAGGGAGCTGAATTTGGAGGGATTTAAAGAAGATATAAAAGGCAAACAACATCCACTATTACCACTCTGCAAGGGGTTTCCATTGTCACATGACACAGGAGACGTTGCATTTTACAGCTTTATCCCCATATTGTAATCAAGTCTCCTAAGAGACCATGAGCCAGATTTCTTTCAAATTTATTTTTACTTATTCCTAGTACACTGCTGTGGCATCCAGAGGAATTTCTGCTAAGGGAGGAGGGACCTGGAATCATGAAGAGGTGAATGATAAAAACCTCCAAGTATTAAATGGACTCATATTCAATTATAAAAAATCAACACATTCCAAAGACAAACATGATACAGATATTCTGCTACTCTGCTTTATCCAGTCAGTCCTTCTGCACTCTTGAAAATAACCGAGCGCTGTCTACACTCAGGAATACCAGACATGAGGAAGTGAACTAAGAGAAGAAGAATGTGGTGGCAAAGAAAAGAGTCAAAAACTAAAAACAGATCAAACACATCAGGAAATGGAAAAAACAAATAATTTTCCCTATTTTTTCTTAGTTCCTAAAGCAGAAATTAAATCATTTTTATTGCTAGATCAAACTGAGAAAGGAATTTATGTAGATAGATTGGTTGACAATTTAAGACAAATACCATCATACTTATTTTTTAAGTGTCACTGCAACCAGGATTGAATTCAGAACTTCCCAGGATGGTGAGAAAAGCTTTAGCGACCCCCAGAAAGCAGCTGTCCTCCAGCCCAACCTTGCTCAGGAAACCGTTTCCCTAAATGTCTGTTAATATTACATCTCAAAAAGTAAAAGAAAAGGTCAGCTGACTTATCAATAGCATTATTTCCAGAGCTTTACTTAAATTTTAAGTCCCACTGCCCTCTGTGAATAAGGATTGAAACTCAACTATGTGACTGAATAATGAAAAAAAATTAATATTCTGATTTTATAATTTCAGGAAATATTTTGTCTCAAGTTTTTGCTTATAATCCGTCTACTAAGTTTAAAAAGTCAAGGGTTTGGCCAGCGTGGCCAGTGTATTTGGCAGAGCCAGGGCTGAGGATTCAGTTGGCTCAGTCTGTGCACACACGAGGAGCCCAGGGTAAAGATTCTGCTGGTGCAGCCAGGATGTCCGGCAGGGTAGGGGTGGAGGAGGTGGCCCGCATGGTGGGGACATTCAGGAGGACCAAGAATGTAAGTAAAATGATGAGGATGAAGGGAGCCAGGTTTCTCAGAACTGCAGAAGGAACTCACAAATTTCAAAGAAGAAGGCTAAAATAAACCCCGTGGTGTTGGACAGAAATGGGAGATACTGGTATGAAATCACGGTGTTTAAGACAAAGAAACAAAAAGACCTATGTACACTTGTGTGTGTGTCTCCCCCCCTTCACCACCCACCAAACTGTTTTCTGAGAAAGGCTAAAAGCAATGACACACCAGTAGCAACAACTGTATCTACTACCAATCTTGATTTCTTTCTCTTTTTTCTTTTTAAAGAGTTTATTTACTTATTTGAGAGAGAGCGAGAGAGAGCATGAGCAGGGAGGAGAGGGAGAAGCAGGCTCCCTGCTGAGCAAGGAGCCCGGTGAGGGGCTGGATCCCAAGACCCTGGGATCATAACCTGAACTGAAGGCATAACCTGAGCTTAACTGACTGAGCCACCCAGGCGCCCCCCAATCTTGATTTCTAAATGCCACACCAAGACTTAACCAATGGTTTTTAGAGAAATGGCCAATTTTATCACTGGGACAGGAAAAACACAAGATGAGCCTGGAATCTTACTGAGCCAGAAAATAAGGAAGTTCTTAAAGACTGACAGGGACATATTGGAAGACACTGCGGCCAGATGAAAGGGGCTTCCACTGGCCAAATCTAGGCCAAATAGTTTCACTTTATTTGGGAATAGAAGGAGAATGGGTTTTGTGGTTGACTATTTACCTTCATCCTCTGTTGTGGCTCTGTGGACTACAGCTTTTATCCTGACCGGCCTTCTAGAAGACACATACCAGCGATTAGACCAAAGCATGGGGCTAAATTGGCACAAATCCACCACCACAAATGAACAAACAGCTCGGATCTATTGCTTATTTAAAATATCTAATATGTGGGCGCCTGCACATCAGCAAAATATGTGTACACTTTGCTAATAAGGTCCTTCCTTAGATATAGGGAGGCAATGCCTTTATTTATGCTTTGAATGCGTTCTTATGTCAGGCTGCTAAAATTGGATGCAGAAAAAATTGTTTTGGTTATTAATGCATACAAAAATACTTCTTCCAAGTTTTGTCCTTAATATCAACTAGAAGAAAATTTTTTTTTTTTGCTGGAAAATAACTTGTAAGACATGGTATCAATTAGATTGGCCTTAAATGTTTCCTTTCCTCAAATTCTGACTAAAAGATTAATCACTTAGGGAAGAAACATCTTTCTCACTGTTGACAATCTGTGGCTGTTAGCTCTGACTTTTAAAAATAATTTTCATATTGAAATAATTGCAAACTTAAGAAGAGCATTAAAAAACTTCCAAATATCTTTCTCTTGGATTGCTAACATGTTTTCATATTTGTCTTATTCTCAAATATGTATGTATGTATATGCATGCAAATATATATACACATACTAATACTTTATTTATACAGATTATAATAACTTACTTTTCTAAGATGCTGACCCTCGAACACACAGGCTTGAACTATGCCGGCCCACTTACACAGATTTTTTACAGTACAGCACTGTAAATGTATTTTCTGATTTTCTTAATAACATTTTCTTCTAGCTTACTTTACAGTATAAAATACATATAGCATGCAAAATATGTGTTAATTGTCTATATTATCAGTAAGACTTCTGATCAACAGCAGACTATCAGTAGTTAAGTTTTGGGGAAGTCAAAGTTATATCTGGATTTTCAATTATGTGGGAAATCAGTGCCCTAACCCTCGTGTTGCTCAAGGGTCAACTGTGTATCATTTTGTTCTTCAAATGGTACATAATTCGAGTTAGGGAAGGTAGCTGATGGCACTGGTAAAGCTGAAGGTTTTGTTCTGGCATGTTTGGGCTCTTACATACTAGTCCCATAATCAAACGAAGCTGTCTACGGAAGCCAGGCAGGCAAAACATGTAAGTGAAGCAGAAATGAACTCTATAAGACCCAGAGGGCGCTGGACCAGCGCGTGCCCTGTAGAAGGGAGCAGCTGTTGCTCTCATAGATGGTCCCTATTTTGAAACGTGTACCGAGTGCCAGAACTTTTTATTTTTTTTTCATTTTTCAAGAGAAGCTAGAGAGAGTGGATTTTTAAGGGATATTATCCAATCTTTAATCGGGACTCATGTTTAAAGATAATAAAACTGGTTTAGGGGGAAGTACATACACATATTCATCTGTCATTTGTATACAGCTCACTACAAAACCAGTTGACAGGTGTAATAATAATTTCTGGTGATGACTAATAGAAAGTTCTGATACTATAAATAGGTAATGGGCTTTGTGCAAAACAATGAAAAAAAAAAAAAACCTACCCTGCCCTAAGATCCCGTAGTCAATTCTCTTGCAAAGGAAGTGATGCAATACCAACTGCATGCAGGATAAATAAAAAAGACTGAGCTGGCGAGAATTAAACCCATGTTACAAAACAACATCTGCAAAACAGAGCTCTTTAAAGGAACCTTCCTGAGTATTGCTACTTACAAAGAAGCAGGCTGAAACACAGTAGTCGTGAAGAAATTTGTTACAATTCAAAGAACAAAGGCTCTTCTTTTTAATTTAATTTTTAAAAAAAGAGCACCAACAAGGAAGTACCCTTGGCATTTAAAGGCTGACCTTAAGATTTATCTGGTAAAATCAGTATTTATACATTACTAATCAGTCTGACTAATGTTTACTTTTGGCTTATAGAACAATTCATCAACTAGTTAATCATGATACTACAGTTACTCATAAAATAAAATCGATGCAATTTCTATTTTCAAACATCTCAACATCTTTTAGGAAGTATTTCAAGTCCCACCATCTCCATAATGCTCTCCATGGCATCTCTAGCCTGTAGGATCTCTCTCCCTCCACTGGAGGTAGAGGCTGATTGCTGTCTCTACAATTTAGCAATTAATCACATGCCACACTGGGGCATCTCCACTATTACCCTTTTAAACTGTTTAATTTGTTACTGCTATTTAATATTTCAACTGTCCCTCTATTTCTTTATAAAAAACCAAACACTGTTATTCCAAGTGCTCCAGTCTGCACATTGTTGGTTGCTTAGTCTGTGGGAAGTACAGAAATAGAGAATGTTTAGAAACTTTTATGGCAATTTGACATTACGGTGACAGCCAAGAGGGAGATCAGTGAACTCATCTTGTTCAACAAAGTAAAGACCATTCTGGATGCTGTTAAATTCTCATGGTGAGGTTGTGTGTGACAGAAGCTGGATATTAGTCATGCACAGTGGAGCATGTTACAATGTATAATCCTTCAGGATGATAGTTTAGCAACTCTAATGGAGAAGGACATAAAAACCTCAGAAAGTGTAAGCATTGATTTTCATTACCTGTTAGGTTTACAGTCATTTAAATTTTTAATAAGGCCTGTTTTCAATTTGTAGTTTAGCACTATTAGCTACACTAGGAAAATAAAATTTGTATTACTTATGTTTAATCCAATTTAATTTAATCCCTAATCCTTGGCAAAACAACCTTCACAGCCTTTTTTATTTGGAAAAGACACATCTTTTCTGAATGTAGTAGTCACTGTGAACTGAGTATCATGGTGAGGGCAGGTCCAGAGAAATGTAGACCAAAAGAGCTCAAACTAGGGTGGGCTCCAAGGTATGAATCTCTCACATACCAGGTCTGGTTTTGGAGCCAAAACTGATGATGAGGTGTGTTACTGGCAGAGATGACCAATAAAGCAATAAGACCATCAAAATGAGGTCATCTTTACACATATAGCATAAAGAGATAACCTCAAAACTGAAAGAATTCTTTTTTTTTTTTTTTAAACTGAAAGAATTCTTTGAAAGAAAAAGTACGAACTTGAAAGCTGACATAGACAGCAGAGTCTAACCCTGGTCAAGGCAGCCCATCAGGACACCAAGGTTGGAGCTGGGCTGGTTCACAGAAACACTGGCCTTGGACCTGGTCCTGGAAGAGCTATTTGGGAGGCTACGTGCTCTCTGGGTTTCAGAGACTCCCTGAGACACAAGAGCTCAAACCACATCGCTCTTTTCGGACCATATATAACTTCAGGGATTAAGTTGTTCTCCGAGGGTTTGATGAGAGATGGGAGAGCATGATTATAAAAGTAATCTTACGCTACCACACCTAAAGTGTTATATGCTGTTTACTTGTTCAATTAGTTTAAATGTATATTTTATACCCGATTTGTAAATGAGAACATCTGGCTTTGTAGAAAGAGTGCATTAACCTGTAAAAGCGAACCTTCCTATTTTGAATGCCTGAAGAGACTAATACACTTTTTAAATATTTCTCTTAAGAGTAAGTATTATGTTATCTGTTACTGCATTTTTATAGCTCACTGGGTGTTTGGCTTTCCAAGGCAACGCTAGTCAGTTCCTGCTCGCTATGAATGAATTACTTCTTTGCCTGCCCTTTAGCTCCAGCGTATTCAGGAAAGGAGCGGTGCACAGTAAATGGTGAATGGCATTTCCCATTTTACAACACTGGCCACATGCAAAGTCTAACAAAATAACATAAGGAAGGACAAATATAGGTGGATTTTGCAATTCTCCCTGTTGTATACATGTTATATATCCATTCACATAGGAGAGCTACAAAATAATTTCACTTAAAGTAAGCTAACAATTGTACAGATTCCTCAAAATTGAATTTTTCTTTTCATGAAAGACTTCAGAGTCAGTCTAAACCAGATTGAAAAAAAAAAACCCACAAAAGTTAATGCACATGAATTCTACTATAAACTATAATATTAAAGGCAGGTTAATAATGGTAAAAATATTCAAACGGGGTAAAAGCCTTCATCCTACTCTCCAAAGGTTTCTATTGTTAACCAATCACTCTTCTATATCCTTCCAGGAAACTTTATGTGCCTGTACTCCGTTGTTTGTATATGGCAAAGACACAGTTCTGTCCCCAAACATTCCATCTCTTCTTCCCCATTTCAACCCCTTCTTGTGGTTAGGCAGGGCCGCATTATTAGTTCTGGCCAATAGCTGTGGGATGTCCATGCTCCTGAGCCAAAGCACAGAAGAGCCGGCGTGCACACTGCCCTGGGGCCCGAGGAAGCTCTGTTCGAGATGGCAGAGCCACAAGATGAAAGCAGCCTGGGTGCTCACTGGCTGCCCGCAGAGTCTCCTGGATCCACAGATTTTATGTGAGCGACACATAAGCCCTTGTTACATTAAGCTGCTGAGACCTGGGGGTTGTTTGTGACTGAAGCCTAACTCATCCTATCCTAATTCGGCAGTCTTTCCATGTTAGCATATCTGCATACCTCATTTTTCTAAACCACAGTACACATATGTCATAACTGACGGTCCACTCCTACTGATGAACTTTTAGGTTGCTCCTAGCTTTGTTGTTACCCTCGTTACTATAAACATGCTGTCGTTAACATCATCTTACACACAAGTTTGCTAACACATATACAAATATTTCTCTAGGGGAAATTCCCTGAAGTAAAATTGCTGGGCATAGAACAGTATGTTGAAAAAAAAAAAATTCAAGTAAGTAATCCATCAATCATCACAATTCAAAAGGCACACAAAGGAAGGCAGTGGAAGTTTCCTTCACACCCTATCCCACAACCTCCAGTGCCTTCCTCTAACTATAACCAATGCTATCAATATCCTACATACCCTGAGAAATTAGATATATGTAAATGTTATACCTCATATACATATATATGCAAATGTGTGCACATACATGTATATACATACACATGCACATATGTATATTTAGGGTGGATTCTGAAACATTTCTAAATTGCCCCTCAATGAGAGTGCCTGCTTCTCCATAC